TGCTTGTCTATACAGAGTACAACATTTAACCCTTCAATATATATGAACAGTAAATAAGTGTTGCTTTCATATTCTTATGTAAAGTAATGACGATATGTTTTCACGTGTGCGCACTTACATACTCGATCTCTCTTTTCTTTACCGTTATCGTTAGCTACTTCTATTGTTCCATTAAATAACATTACTTAAAACAACCATATTAGTTTTACTACAGCTACAACCAAGGTCTTATTTTCTTCAGTTTTATATGTAGAACCAGTCAGTCACTGGTTTTGTAATCAACGAAAACAATGCTGTGTCATTTCCTCGTGTGTTTTAATATTCTACGTATTATTAATGAATTGTATTGCTCATTTTGCACACAAACATTAATTCAATAAAAAAGACATTCAGTAATAAACAATAATGAATCTTTTGTACATAAGAGAAATGACGCCGTTTTCACGATTATGCACGTCGTCTGCACGTTGGCGGGCCGTTCAAACCCGTCGAAATTCAAGTTTCCGCCGTCAAAATTTTTTTATATTTATTTTTTTGTGTGTTCCAATAAAATACGTTAAGAATTAAAAACTCGCGAAATTTGAGAAGCTACTATACGACATTTAACCCTTCAATATGTCTTCAAAGAGACCCTGATGCAGAGAAAGTGGAGCTAGTGCTTCCAAGCATAAGCACAAGTCACTATCTATCCAGGAAAAGGGTGAATTTCCATGGTCCCGCACCGGTCAGGTCCCGAGGTTGCCGGACTAGAGAGGTACAACCTGTAATAGTATTTATTAAGTGGTGATAAATACACTGCAATAGTATTTATTTAGTTATGATAAATATACAACTGTACTAATTTACTAAGTGTTGAAGACAGACATTGTGGTAAGCCAATCAGTTGTGTGCTCTTTGTAAACAAATGAGTATGAACTGAGTCATGGTGTTCAGTGTGGGATTCTTTTTTCAGGAAAGTTGATTCTTTTAGGATAATATTTTATCAACCTGGCACCAAATGATCCTGAATTATATGAGAATTGTGGTGGAATTGCATAAAGAAGTGTTAAGGAAGCTTGTGGGAGTTAGGGGGAGGGAGCAACCCACCCATGCTACCCCCCTACCCCTTTGCCAGCTGCTCCCAGATAAACATTCGTCTTCCACATACAGTAAACTCCTACACTTATATGTTCTTATTTTTATCTTTAAGTACTGTGCAGTATACAGTTCTTATTTTTATCTTTATAGTACCGTCCCTTATCCGAAATCCTTGGGACCAGATGCATTTCGGTTTTTGGAATTTTTCGGTTTTCAGAATGGTTAGGTTAGGTTTTTTTTTTTTCTTTTATACAGGGATCAGCCCACCCGGGCACAGGTCACTGACCCACATTGGGGCCTGGGGGCTAAAATATAATAATAATAATAATAATAATAATTCATAGGTCTAGGTCGTGTTTCTCACTTTTGATCTTTTTTTCATTCTTGTATTTCTTTATTTTTATTATTAATATTATTATTATTATTATTATTATTATTATTTTATTATTACAGTATTATTGTTATTATTATTATTGTTATTCTTATTTTATTTTTGTGTATTTTTTATTAAAATTTTTATTTACTATGAATAATTATTATTATTACTGTATTATTATTATTATAATTATTATTACTATTACATTTTCACCCCCCAGGTCCCGATGTGGGTCAGTGACCTGTGCCCTGGTGGGCTGTTACAAAAAAAAAAAAAAAAATTGCTCCACAAAAAAACTTCCGGTTTTCAGAGCTTTTCGGATAAAGGGTTGTCAACCTGTATACAGTTCTTATTTTTATCTTTATAGTATTGTGCAGTATACAGTTCTTATTTTTATCTTTATAGTACTGTGCAGTATACAGTTTTTATTTTTATCTTTATAGTTCTGTGCAGTATACAGTTTCTCTATTCATAAGACAAATTCTGTGGTTACTTACCGGGTACATATAACACTTTATAGTAAAGAACAATCATCTTGGTGACAACAGTGGTTGACAACCACACTTGTGTCTGATTTTCAACCCAGAGAGTTCTGTTTCATATTTTTTTATTGTTGATGTAATGTATTCTTTTAATAACCTTGTTATACAAAAGACCTTAGTTGTTGAAGTGTAGTAATAACATAACATAACTTATTTTCTTTAAACAGTTCAGATAAGCAGTGTTATCTCCCCCCCTCGCCCCATATATGCGCTTATACAGTATATTTAGCGAGGTTCTACTGTATATTGAAAGTTGCAAATCAGATGAGCCTCTCACATAATAACTTCCTTGAGTATCACTTTTCCTACCTGTTAAGATTTGGGCTCACTTGGTTTAGGGCATATTAGAACTGAACTCCAATCTTAGTCATTAAGTTCTGTTAAGTTAGTTTGAGGTCTGTTGTAGATATGGCCCATTAGACCAGTCACCCTCACAGGTACACTTCGGGGACAAAACAGAAGTGGATCAGCAACCCGTGGAAGTGGAAGAGGATCACTCATAGCTGGAGGAGGAAGAATTAACACCAGAGGAAGAGGTAGAAGAGGAAGAGGCATTAATGCACGAGGAGGAAGAGGTATTAATACACGAGGAGGAAGAGGTGTTGGTACTAGAGGAGGAAGAGGCATTAGTACCAGAGGAGGAAGAGGCATTAGTACCAGAGGAGGAAGAGGCATTAGTACCAGAAGAGGAAGAGGCATTAGTACCAGAGGAGGAGGAAGAGGCATTAGTACCAGAGGAGGAGGAAGAGGCATTAATACCAGAGGAGAAAGAGGCATTAGTACCAGAGGAGGAAGAGGCATAAACTCTAGAGGAGGGAGAGGTATAAATGCTAGAGGAGGGAGAGGTATAAATGCTAGAGGAGGGAGAGGCATCAGTACTAGAGGAGGAAGAGGAAGAATTCCCAATAACCAAGGAGGTTCCTCAAGTCACCTCAACCGTGACCATCAGGTGAGCACTTCTCTTGTATTTTTGGGCTTTGTTTTTAATTGTTATTTCCTAGTTAGTGGACAAATATTTAAGTATTTCGGTTTGGCCTTGTACAGTACTGCTTAGTTCCCAACTGGTGAAATTGAAAGGAGCCTTGGGTTTCACCTTTTAAAACAGGCTGAACCTGTTTGTTTGGTTCCTGTTACAGCTTACAAAGGCAGTGTTATATCATCCAATTTGATTAAGTTTTCTTCATCAGATGAAATGATTTTGGCAACCATGTAATAAGGAATTTGAGATGTGTTAGAGTGTAATCTATCTGTGAACAGCAACTTGCTGAATCTGTATGCAATACTTGATGATTTATGTAACTTCTAAAGTAAATGAGACAATGCTATATATTTTATGATTGCAACAAAACAGTGGTTTATAGGAAGTAGTATTTTTTTTCCCTGGGTGAAGGTGAGTGGCAGTTAATGGTAGGAATTCTGCATTGCCCTACAACACTATGTATCACTTCCTTGATATCTCTATCCTGAATTTACCATTAGTTTTTATTCTAACTTCTACCAGGTAATCTCCAGATGTTCCGTATTCATCTCTCAGCTCTTGTACTCCACTCTATCCCCTGTTATGTGTCATAATTCTGTATGAAATATTTAATTCCTCAATTCATGGTAAGTTTAGATTTGTTATTTGACCATTGTGTTGTAGACAAGAGTGAATTCCTGTTCCTATTAGATACAGTGATGCTTTGGTTGTCAAATTTTCAATTGGTCTATTGGTAGTAGTTATTCTGTATAATAATGCATGGATATTTGGTTTTGTGTATTCATGTATTTTTTAGTGAAAAAGCTTAAATATTAATTTCCCAGCTCTTGCATAATGCAGGTTAGAGCAAGACTCCCAATCTGTCATTTGTTTTCATAAACTGCATAACTAGATGAGAATGCTGTAGTAGGTTATTAGGTATTAATATTTTATTTAAACCTATACTTTTGCTCACAGGAGACATACCAGCAGGTGATGGGCACAGACACTGCATTTAGACAAAAACTAGCGAGGAGAAAGATCCAGCAAGCACGCAGGACTTTAGCAGTATCACGGCAGAACACTAGGTCTCAAGCCAGAGCCAATATTGTTGATGAACGCAGAGGCATTACTGGAGGAATGAAGGTTAGTTTGAAGAAATAGCTTTAAGTGCATTGTCTTGCGCATTACTGCCTTTTCTCTGGCATCTGGAACATTTATGTCCTAAAACTGATTTTATTCAGCAAATATCAGATGATTTTATTCAACAAATAGACCCCCTTATACTCATGGGGTTAAGTAATCTCCCCATTAGTCAGAATAATTGGTGAAGAGTGGTTATAAGAGTGTGGGGTTTTTATATACATCTTTATATTCATGGTTTTTGTCATTTCTCAACATTTTCTACACTTTAATTACACCATTTTCCCCAATCATTTCCTCACTCTTGAGGTTCTGTTTGCCCTGATTCACCCCATGTACACACACTAAGAAAATTATCCACCCACACTGTGTGAAACAATATGACACCACAAGCAAAGATTTTTGACAATCCTACCTACAGTAGGTAACACAGGTCATATTGATCATTTCGAAACTCACTGTGCATTTGAAGGATGTTCTTGCATATTTAAAACAAATTTTCGTGCATTTTTAAAGTGCAGTTTATTTATGAGTTTGACTGTTAGTTTATGACTTTTTATGATCAATCCCAGCAGACCAAGGGCAACTTGGGAACACCTCTCGGAGTGCGAGTTGGGAGCGGCACTATTGTCAGGGGGCTACGTTCAGATCAGCTCTTACTTCACAAGATGCAGAACGCCCACAACACCCACACTAATACAAGTCTCAACAGAATAGAAACATTCACAGAAAAAGTTAGTACAGTATATTCTTTAATTTGTTTGTAGTGTTTAGCTTCATTTTATGCAGAAGCCATGTGTGGATGTTTGCAGAATGTAGCCACATTTTGTCTTTATTTTTTATTTTAAAAATGGATATTTGGTGTAAATACTAACACAGTACAATATTCACTTTGTATATTATGTATGCAAGTGGAGGATATGAGCAAATGTTTTAATATTTCTGCTGGTACCTTAACTCTGGACTGTCTTTTCTACACATCATAAAACACTATTACAGTGGTCCCTCGGTTAACGAACGCCTCGGTTAACGAAATTTCAGTTACCGTATATCTCGGCTTATAAGACGAAATTTGAACATTAAAAAAATCTGCCCAAAGTTAGGGGGTCGTCTTAAGCAACAAATATAAAATTCTTACATCTTAAATATTGTGGTTTACTGTGTCAGAGTGGTGATGGAAACATCGTAAGCCACTCACAAAGTCCTACCAGTAATTATTTTATACTGAAACTTACGTTTGGCAAGCTGGATTCAAATTAAGATTACCGGTATATTAAAATAATAAAAATGTATTATAAACCTGTCTAACATACCGTAAAAGAGAATTATACCCCTGTAATAAACACAGCTATCATCACACACCCCTCCCATTTGCCAGTGAGGAGACAAGAAAGGGAAAGTGACCGCGAGATTGGGCTATTTTTAGCCGTGGAGGTGGTCAGTAATGCATATCGGTATATTTACTGATAATAATACTTCTATAAATAATTAATTTAAAATTTATTTTTTTACAAGGAATATTCAGTAAATGACTGCATTAATTCTTGAAACTACTGACAGTTAAATACAGACGCTTAAGTGACGTCACTAGTGTTTACACTACACCAGCTGGTAACATTTGATGCCATTACTTGAGGTGAATTGGCCTTATTTTAAGTAACTAACCATAAATAAATACAAAAAGTAAAAAAAAGATCAAAAGTGAGAAATAATATACTGTATGTATGTTGTGTTGTCAAAGTTAGAGGAACAATTCAAACTGCAATTGTGTGTAAATGAGGCAGAAAGTCAGGTCAGTGCTGAACCTGGGACTTGGTCACAATTTTCGTGATGCTATATGGCAGCAGGGTCTACCATTAGACAACACATTATGCTTCCAATATCTTCCCAGGCGGTAGTATCTACCTGTTTGGTAGCTGCCTACTACCTACACAATTTTTAGTAATATTACTTTGATACATGATAAATTAACAATGAAAATAAACATCAAATTTAATTACCAAGACGCTTCCCATTGGCAGCTGTAAGAAGAGGGGGAGATGGGCTATTTATAGCCCGTCTTCGTGTCTAAAGTGACCAGTACCCTAATGCACCATAAATAATTCATTTAACATTTATTTTTTGTGCATATATTTTGTTGTATATATATATATATATATATATATATATATATATATATATATATATATATATATATATATATATATATATATATATATATATCACGGCCTATAAGGCGGCGGGGTGCATAAGACGCCCCCCCCAAATTTCCATTTAAAAAGTAGCTTTTGAGCTCTATTTGCTGTATAAGACCAGTACCCCAAATGTGACACTTACCCACTGACTCAGTAGTCCTTTACCAACCATCCTTGATTTTTTAAAATAAGGCCAATTCACTTCAAGTAATGTCATCAAATTATACCCGCTGGTGTAGTGTAAACACTAGTGACGTCACTGAAGCGTGGTGGGAGTGTTCCCTCGTCTCGGTGGTGTGACTATTTATACAACATGTGGTTCAACAACAACCACCGTATTCTAATTGTGGTGTTTCATTAGGATTTGAGTGAAAAAGGTTACCAGTATGTACTTACTACATACATTTATTACACAAATATATATATATATATATATATATATATATATATATATATATATATATATATATATATATATATATATATATATATATATATATATATATATATATATATATATATATATATATATATATATATATATATATATATATATATATATATATATATATATATATACTGAATATACTAAGTACAAAAAATGAATGTTCAATGAATTATTTATGGTGCATTAGGGTACTGGCCACTTCTGATGGGCTATAAATAGCTTTATCTCCCCTCCATCTCACCCTGAGCCAGACGGAAGGGTCTTGGTAAATAACATGTTTGCTTATTTTCCATTTACTTTAAATAGATTTACCGAATTATTTGTTTTATTTATTTATTTATAATATACTGTAATATATTAAACACACTGTAATTATTTTCTTTAATTTATAAACTGTTTTGCAACAAAGGAATGTTCTCCAGTAGTGTTTCATTAGGATTTGAGTGAAAAAATATTACGTACTTACACAATTGTTCCTCTTACTTTGACA